CAGATTTTTAGTCGGCGTGGGCTGCAGCCGTGGTCGAGATGATCACAGTGGACACGGGAGAGCACCTTTCCGGCGGAGAGGCGCGCTGTCTGATCCCGAGCCACAGCTCTCCCGCGCTTTGCGCGAGGCCTCCACTGGTTGGTTGCGACTGGTGGTCCCAGTCCGTGTGTCGTCGCGTGGTGTGCGGCGACGGCCAACCGTGAGAGTACACGCGCCGTGGTAGACGCCGGCTCGTACAGTGTTATAAAGGCGATCTCCGTTTGAGCGAGGGACACTTCTGTCGCGCGCACAACACTGGGCTCTGGGGTGTGGAGCGCGCACACACACAGAGTCCACGCGTCGACAGCCTCACACCCGAAAGAAAGAAAACGGAGAAAACAAGGGAGAGTAGCCTCAAGCCGCGAGAACAAGGGACCGGCAGGCGGCGGCGTCGCAGGACGAGGCAGAAGAGAACGACGCGACAGAGGAGGAAGTGACAAGGGAGAGACCGACGAGAGTGGGACGGCCGCGAGGTGGCATGAAGGTTGCAGCGAGAAGCGGCGAGAGACTGCGAAAAGAGATACGAAGAGGCAGACTCCCCAGGGTGGGCGACGGCTAGCGCACCACACTCCTCTCCTTAAAATCCCTGTGTGGTGGCGGCGTGCCGTTCTCCCATCCCTCCCTTGGGTTGTGTGTTTTCTTTCTTTCTTTCTTTAGCCTCAAGCCGGTGCCTCGCTACCCAACGCGGCCAAAGGATATCCACCTCGAGGTTAGGTTAGGTAGAAAGGTGAAGAACAGTCAGGCTCGGACTGGACACCAGGACCAGCGCGGTATGGGTGGACGCGGGACAGATGATGACGACACGCACGAGCGACACACAGACACAAACAAGCTCACAAGACACACAGCCAGCGTGGCTGCCACACACCCTGAGTTGGCGTACACATAACTCAGGCCACATTCTCCCTGTCGCCCGCCCCAGCACTCCACGATGCCAAAGGAACCTCGTCGGCATCGAATTCTCCTCAGCGGCACTCACCTGGGCTCGCGCAGATCGTCCCGGGTCTAGGCGGCGCGCTGGACGCTCACACGACGATGGCGGCCCACATCCACGGGAGGAGAAGGAGCTGGCTCAGCGTGTCGCTGCTGCTCTTCGCTCTCGCGGTCTCGCCAGCCTCCAGCCTCAGCGCGGGCGTCCTGCCGGTGCGCGGCGGGCAGCAACCGGCGGTCGCCATGATGGCTCGGAAGGTGCTGTACGCGGGCGAGGCGCGCGAGGCGCTGATGGCTGGGGTGAACAAGGTTGCGGACGCGGTCAAGGTGACCATCGGTCCGCGGGGGCGTAACGTCGTCATCCGGCCGACCGGCAAGATGCCTGCCGTCGTGAACGACGGCGTCACCATCGCCGGCGAAGTGAACCTCGAGTCGATCCCGGAGAA